GATAGTGGTGACATTATGTTGAACACTTGTTAACCCATGTATGTGCTTGATCTTTGTGCCCGGCTGCTGTGAGATATAAAGAGGTTTTAGAGACCAATGCTGTAATTTTAAGAGGCGCAGTTTGCCCTGGATTCCTGTTAATAAACAACAATACTTAGGGCTTAGCTGAAGGACGATTACTTGGAAAGAGAGGACATTCCTCCCATGGAATGCCCCGCTAAATTTCTTGGCCTTAACTATAAAGCGTTCGTAATGAACACTCTTGGGAGTGCAATTGTTTTCCCTAACCCTCTCCGAGACCATTCCGGAGGTAAAAACTGGCTTGCTGCAGGAATGAAATCTACAGTCAAGGGACTCCTCAACTGCCTCCTGTCCAGTATGCCGTCACGTTGTGCTACGCCTGTCTGGCTGTGACATAATACCAAACACCATATCAGGGTCTCTTCAGTTTGAGAAGTTCACCGATTTTTAACATCACTGCACTTTAAGTTTTACCGATAATCATCCCTTTTTTTAAAAAAGACTCTTGAATTTTACGTCTGTTTCTTTGGTTAAAATGTATATTCATACCACATTTCAACTAATATCTTAATTTTGCCCATGAGTGTATTAAAATCAACATTCAAGAAATTTTAAATAAGGTTTTTCTTTCTACTGTGAAATTCTAGAATATATCCCTAATCAACAAATAAAAATTATTTTCGATTTCGGAAAAAGCTTATAATCAAGACTAAATACAAAAACCTGTTTGGATATTGTCCAGTAAAATCACACAAAAATAAACTTTTCCTATTAAACATAGATGAATTATATGATATAATATATTATATGAGTAAATAATTACATAGAAAAAATGGAAATATATCAATATTAAATTCAAAGAGGATTGGGTTTTTATTTTCAAAAATGGGTAAATTGCTTGAATATGACGATATAATACAAATAATATATAGATGAAAAAACTTTAAGGCAACATTTAAATGAATAAATTCACATATGATATTTTGTTCATAATACACTCTGTCGCAAAAAAATATATGCACCCAGAAGAAATCAAGCTACAATCACGAAACTCGGCAAGAATGTAGTCTGGTAAGAGATATGCAAATGATTAAAATTTCGAAGCCAATGAGACAAGGCTAAGTGTGCTATGCGCATATTAGTTGCGCAACTGGGAGAGTTTAAAAGCATGAGTACGAGCGCCGTACGGCTATCCAAACGAATCTGATGACTTTGATAGACGATATTGAGACTTAGGATGCCTCTAAGACGTAACCGGCGGCAGTACGAGCAGCTGACGGACTTTGATAGGGGCCGTATAATAGGCCTCAGAGAAGCAGGTTGGTCGAATAGACGTATCGGCCGCCACCTCGGTGGGAGCGATATGGTAGTTGCTCGGTGTTGGCAACAGTGGATCACAGAAGGTAGAGTGTACCGTCGCGGAGGGTCAGGACGTCCCAGGAACACAAATGATCGCGAGGATCGTGCAATCAGAAGAGTGGCCACTTCGGCACCAACAACGTCGCTAGCATCGATTCAACGCCACTTACCTCCTTCCAGACATCCAGTGCCATCAAGAGAAACCATAAGGAGACGACTGACCGAAGTTGGCTTGAGGAGCCGACGTCCGCTAAGACGCTTACCACTGACCCCACATCATAGGCAGTGTCGACTGGATTTTTGCCGACCTCGGGCAACTTGGAGTGTGCCAGACTGGAGACGTGTCATCTTCAGTGATGAATCTTGATTCAGTCTCAGTGCTGATGACTACCGCACACATGTCTGGAGGCGCACCGGCCAGCGGTCCGATCCGGCATTTATTGTCGAGCGGCATACAGCAATTTCACAAGGTGTGACAGTGTGGGGAGCAATTTCTTGGGACACACGATCATCTTTAGTGGTCCTTCAAGGCACTTTGACAGCTCGCAGATACGTGGACGATATTTTAACGCCGATTGTGCTACCCATGCTATCAAGTCGCCCAGGTGCCATTTATCAACAGGATAATGCTCGTCCACATACTGCGTGACTCTCCCAACAATGTCTTCAAGGATATGACGTCCTACCATGGCCTGCCAAGTCACCAGATCTTTCGCCAATAGAGCATGTCTGGGACGCGCTGGGAAGGCAACTGCAGCCGTCCCGAGAGACAGGAGAATTAACTGCGCAGATGCAAAGACTATGGCAGGATCTTCCACAGGGGGTCATAAGTGATCTAATTGAATCGATGCCACGCCGAATTTCGGCTTGTATAGCTGCCAGAGGTGGCTTTACTACTTACTGATTTTTAACCTTTTGCAAGCTGTAACCGCTTAATAAAATGATATTTTGTTCGGAATTTTTAATCATTTGTTTATTTTCATATACACTACATGCATACCAAATTTCGTGAATGTAGCTCAATTTCTTCTGGGTGCATATATTTTTTTGCGACAGAGTGTATATTCCACCAGGTTATTACCTTAAGATAAATATTAAAATTTCCAGGATAATTATTATTTATAAATTCAACTATTCTAATTTCTCTAACGTAACAGGAAACACGCTCTTCTTCAAGATAGCATTTAAGAAAATTTTAATCTTGCTTATTATATTTCTTAAAATAATTATGGTTATTAAGATATAAGAATTCATTAAAAATCTTCAATAACGTCCCGTCTTTAAATTGAAATCCAACGTTCATTCCCCCAAGCTTAATAGCAAAACATTTGCTTACAAATTCTATCCCGTAAATTTCCTTCGACACACATCACTGAACCTTTACTTGAGGAGATAAATTTCCTATTCAGTAAAAGGGAGAGAGGGCTTAGGGTTACCCATTAATTAATTAATTCCTGTAACTTTGTGAATTGAAGTCTGAATATTGCTGATTTTGAGTACCATACAAAATAAGATTTGAGCTTAAGTCCTCGGCAATTAAACTTTGGTCAGCATTTCCTTTTCACTTAATCTTTTAGTCTTGGGCAGTCCCTAACATGGCAGTATCTGTCAATTTGTTCTTTATTATTTCAACATGTCATAAATAAATAAAAAATGTTTGGTTTAAATGTAAATTTCTGCTTCAAACTCCAGAATTTCTCCATTAAACGGGTTAGGGCAGCGATATCAACCTGTGGCCCACCGAGCCTTTTTAAGTGGCCCGGTCACGGCCCATTTCTCTGACAAATTCACTTATTTAAGAACATTGTATTAAAAAGTGGGTGGGAAATTCTTTGTCAAGAAATAAAATACATCAATTTTATTTTTTGCTGTCGGTGTCGTACGGATACAAATTGGTATTATTTTTCTATTTGGAACGTTTACGGTTAGTGATAACAAACAACAGAGGAGTAGCGACAATTTTATGTGTGGAATTAGTTTTTAATTATCTTTCCTATCTTGCAAACGAAAAATATTTGAAAAAATATATTGTTTCAAGACGATTGGGAGGTTGACTATTTTGTAGTGAAAAACAAACATGGATTAGTAATTGATTTGTCACGAAAGTGCTATATTTAAAAAATACCAATAAACATGAATTATTCAATGACACTTTTCCTCGAAGATATCTTTCAAGAGGTGATAAATAGGCTTTCATGAATAATCTTAGCAACAGCAACTAAGTGTTTTGTCAGTGGTGATATTACAGCGGTAACAAAAACACACTATGAATTTTGTTACAGTATTGGTAATCATATGAAACCGTTTGCTGATGCAGAAATTGTGAGGGATTGTTTTCTAAATGCTTCTAATTTAGTGCTAATGACAAAAACAAAAAATAATAATTAAAAAAAGCAAAACACACACAGGAGTTATAATATTTTGATCAATTTTCTACATTTTAAATTTCTAATATTATCTAGGTCTTAAAGCCTCCCACCTATTAACCTAATCATGCGGCCCACGTGAAATATCTCACATATGTATGCTGCCCCGCGTGAAATAGCTGACACATCAATGCGGCCCAGCAGAAAAAAAGGTTGAGTACCTCTGGGTTAGGGTATCCAGTTTATATAATCAAAGATTTATTATTGAAAAATAAAAACTCCATTATTTTATTCATTAGTAATATAATTTTTCAGAAACATTGAGAATTCGTGCATGTGTGTGTTAAATCTAAGAATAGTCCTGAAAATAACCGATGTATATTAAAATTTGGAATTCATTGTTTATTAACGTTATTTTTTAGCTACACAAGGTCTATTATAGTGACGGGTCTCGTAATTTTAAACTTCAGTTAAGTGGCGAGGACACCACCTGAGCCGTTGCCTTACTCCACTAAATTCCACGCCATTTTGTTAAAATTTTCAATCATTAATAAAATACATTTTATATTCTACCATTCAAGTCCAAATATACTTTTTTAAAACTTGTAGTCGTTGACACTTGATGTTAATTCAGATTTTTTTAAATATTAATTCACTAAATAAATTAAAAAAACAAGTAATATAAAAAAAATTAAGTCAATTCTTACTAGATCAACTAAGAATTTTTTTTATTTTAGCTACTTTTTGTTAAATAGTTACAATTAATATAAAAGTGTATATGCAAAAATGACACAATCACAACATTAAGGAGTGATTAATTTTTATTAACTATCATTAAAGTATCGTATTGTCATCCAAAACAATCGCGTATATAAAATTTCAGTTCAACTGAATGCTTTAAAACGTGAGAAAAAAAATCTTTTAAAGTTTTGACACAAGTCGCCAAAAAAGGGTCACTAAATCACCAAAAATGATGCCAACGTGGCTTGATTTGTAATTTTTTAAATAATTAGTTTTAATCAATTATTTTTATTAATTATAATTAAATTATTGTATTGCTATCCAAAATAATCATGTATATAAAATTTAGCTCAATTGAGCGCGTTAAGATGTATTTTTTTACCGATTGAAAATTCCACCAAGATACATAAATAAATAGAAAGTGTGATCTAATAGTAGGAATTTAATGAATAAATAGTAACAAATAAAAATAATAGCCCAACGCTATATATAAAAAAGAAATTCGTTCGTTGTGTCCCTGTAGCGCAATGGATAGCGCGTTGGACTTTTAATCCGTAGGTCGTGTGTTCGAGTCTCACCTGGGACGGCCTGATTTCTGAGAGTGTGATTTCTTTTTAATATACATTTTATTGGAATAATTAAATTTAATGAATGAATAAAAGGTATCAAATAAATAAAGGACTCCAACTCCGTATATAGAAAAGAAAATTGAAAATTGTAAGAAAAGTCGCTTTCTATTTTGTCACTTAACAGTGTGATTCTGTCATATATGTACCTACATATTTATATTAATTATAACTATATGAAAAAAAGTAAGTAAAATAAAAAAATTGTTTATATTGTGTTTTTAATACACTTGTTTTATTTATGTTAAATTCTTAATTTAGGGAATAATGTATTATAGAAGCATAGTAGCTAAACGTATCTTTTTGCAACTCTCTTGAATTCAATAAGTTTGAGACCTAATCTTGTGATTCTTATCCAAATATTAATAGACTATGTCTTTGTTGTTACTTTTATCCGATGAGTAGGTAGAAAAAGCCGATTCTGCTGTAAAGGCGGTGCAGGCGGTGCAGGCGGTGCAGGCGGTTGCAGGCGGTTGTAGGCGGTTGCAGGCGGTTGTAGGCGGTTGCAGGCGGTTGTAGGCGGTTGTAGGCGGTTGCAGGCGGTTGCAGGCGGTTGTAGGCGGTTGCAGGCGATTGCAGGCGGTTGTAGGCGGTTGCAGGCGGTTGCAGGCGGTCGACGGCAGTGCAGAGTTGAGTTGTTTCGTTCCTACTGACGAGTTGAGTTGTTTCGTTCCTGCTGCTGAGTTGAGTTGTTCGTTCCTGCTGCTGAGTTGAGTTGTTTTCTCCTGTTGATTTGTTTCGTTCATGTTACCGAGTTGAGTTGTTTTCTCCTGTTGAGTTTGAGTTGTTTCGTTCCTACTGACGAGTTGAGTTGTTTTTCTCCTGCATTGGCTTTGGTTTTCGAGCTGAGGGGGCGAGTTGAATTGTTTTTTTTTTTCTACAGCTAAGTTGAGTTGTTTTTAAAAAATGTGCACAAAAAATGGAAGTATGGGAATGTTAAACGTGCTCATGGCGCCACCTATTGATTAAAATGTACACTAATTATAGATTTTAAAATGATGGAAGTAAATAACGCTCAAATAAAAAAAAAATCCAGATTCAAACTCACGGCCTCAGATCAAAATGTCTCCACAGGACAATAGTTTTCAGTTACGCTAACCATTATCCTATGAAGGCATACAGACCTGAAGAAAACTTATGTTTATAATCTCATGAATTTAATTTTGCAGGCGAAGCAGACGGCGACATGTTTTAAAATCATTTTCTTGATTAAAATGAAATAAAAAAAAATATTTAATTTATATTATTATTTTAATAATGTGTAAATTTTAATTCAGTATAATGATTACATACACACACAGTAAAGATACAAAGTAAATTGATTATTCAGAAAAATGTGCCGTAGTATACTCGTCATCAGCGTGAACCGGTTACGATTTAACTTGTTTTAGCTTGTCTGATCTTGATTCTACAAGACGGCTTTTCCAGGCGAAGCAGATGGTGACGTGTTTTAAAATCATTTTCTTAATTAAAATGAAATAAAAAATATTTAATTTATATTATTTTAATAATGTGTAAATTTTAATTCAATATAATGATTACACACACACAGTAAAGATACAAAGTAAATTGTTTATTCAGAAATCAACATCTTGTATTGCGTTTTACATTACAATCGTATATTTACATTACAGGAGAACAACAATTTGTAAAATTTATTTCAGTGTAATGATTATACATGTACAGTAAAGATACAAAGTGAGTTGTTTACTTACAAAAACAGCATTCCGTTTTACATTACAATCAATTATTTATACACACAAAAAAAAAAAAAAAATCCCATTATTGGATTTTATGTCCTACAGCTCATTAAATAGTTCTAAATTCATCAACGACCAATGACCATGTGCAAGAGTAGTAATGCCATCACCATTAATAAACCTTTTGTCATCTTTATATGACAGAGCAAGTTTGTTTTGCTTTATTGAATGTAATGAATGAAATTTGGATCTAATTAAGTTCATGTCAACATATTTTATTTTTTTCATTAAAAGACAAGCTTTGTAGTCCTCAAATGTTATTTTATTTTTTATAGTTTGTTTTTAATTCCTTTTAACCGCTTTTCAATCTTATTGTTTGTTTTGTAGGCATACATTTTCGATTTTAATCCTATATATTCTGTCATAATATTTCCTTTATTTTCATCCTTCATTTTCCCGATGACTTTTTGTTAACAAGAGGTAAATTATAAATATTGTTTTCATCATAGTCTGAAGTATCATATAAGTTAATATCCTCTTTCATGTCACTATAAAAATCATCAGTTTTTATTTCATATATAAAAGAATCGGTGTCTGTATACATGAGCCGTACTTTTGAGTCATAACGGTGCTTCATGTACTCATAGTGAAAAGAATACATTAGAACTTTTGATATATCTAAAATTACCATTCCTACCTGTATTGGTTCGAAAAATTTGATTTGGGTTTTTTTAGATGGACGACCATTAAGTTTTCAGAAAATATTGTGCGTCGATTAAAATTTGATTTCGCTATTAACTTTCGAGCCTGCTCTTCTGTTGAACATAAACGTATATCTACTCTTCTTCTTACATTTTCCATCGTTTTCCCGAAAATGCTATTATTCATTAGTTTGTAATAATCCTTTTGAAAGTCATTTACAGATTTAGTTCTTAATTTAGTATAATCTATGTAATTTTTAAGCCAAGGAGATTGAAAAAATTTTAAAACCCGATGAATTTTTTTCAAGACTAACCCTAATTTTAAATATAGCTTTAAATTAGAATAATGGAGAACATATTTTGTTTTTGGTTCCAAAGTAGTTAAAAGTCTAGGCTCTTTACAATTAGGTGGGGGCTTATTTTCAGGGGCAAGGGGAAAGTCTGAATGTTTGTCATGCAAATCGGAAGGATATTCAAGATCTACTTCCAAGATGTAACCTACATCGGATTCATCTGATAAATTTAAAATATCCTGTTCAGTTAAATCGTTATCACTCCAAACAAAATCTTTTAAGGGTAGATATTTACTCATTGCATAACCGTACAAATTATTTGCGTCAAGATACATTAAATATTTTATCTCATCATCTGGGTTAAAATTAGACATATATCTGTTGTTAGCTATAGCATAACGATTGCAACACTGACTTATACCTCCTCTTACACCCTTTTCTATAAAAAGAAGCATGTCGTAATCTGTAAACAGTTCGATAGCTACTTTAGTATGTAATAACATAGCATCCCATGATAAATGAGAAGCTGGGGTGGTAAAATACCAACAGGGGTCAAGTTTATAAGTTTGCATGCATATTTTTCGAAAGTTTTCAAAGAGATCTGTTAACAATAGAACATCTGTTTTTACATATAGATCGCAGTATTCACCAAGATTATTTAAATGAAATTCATTAAATACTTTACATGCATGATTATAATCCTCTACACTTATAGCCTCCTCATTTAGTTTATGGTAAAATTTGCTAATAGGTGGTAAACAAGAATCTTTACACTTTTCAAAACTATCAAAATAATCATACGGAAAAACTCCCTTTCTTAAAAGTAAATCTATTTTTTCTGAGTCAAAATAATGTTTCATATATTTAAATTCATCTTTTTTAGTGTTTTTATCAAATTTTCCAAACTAGAAGACATGAATTTGAAAGAATCTAAAAACCTTAACTGAAAATCATTTGAAATATTTTTACTGAAGGAAATATATTTTTCTTCGGTGTTCGGAATTAAATTAATTTGTTTTTCATCATATCCTAACTCATTAATAAAAATATGGGCGTCATATCCTGAAAGATTATGGAAGAAAACAGGTAAAAATTTGGGGGTTTTCATTGCTAACTTACAACTATTGCAACAAGGGCCATTAAATTTTTGAGTAACATGATTATGATCCCTAACCTTGATATTGTTTTCGTGAAAGGTTTGACCACAAACATAACAATTATTAGCATTATCATACAATTGCTTTTCTGATTCAGTAAGAGGTAATAACGGTTTTGATTTTTATAAATATTATCAATTTCTATTGCATCTTTTTCTAACTTTTCAATAAAAATTTTGGGGGCATCAATACCTCTATATACTACTGGATCTTTATAATGTCCCCCTTGATAACTGATAAAATAACAAAAACCTATTGGGACATGTTTTTCATAAATATTTGTAAACGAAAAGTTTGGATTAGGACAGCAATTATCAGTTTTCCTAGTTACACACTCGAAATCCGCATATACAACAAAAGGTATTTTTAAACAATGTTGAAAATTTTTAAATTTTAAAAACTTACTTGTTTCTAACGGCATTACTACCCTTGCAGGATTTTTATGTATACACATCTCATTATGCTGAAGAAGTTTGTATTCTGTTTGGAAAGCACTTAAACATCTTTTACATATAAATGTTTTATGTTGATGTTTTGTTAGTTGTTTCGAAACAAGTCGAGATAAGCTTTTAATGAAACAATAATGTCCAAACTCACCATTTTTTACGTAAAGCAAATCTATATGTTTCTCACACACTATATCACTAATGAGGAGAGGAAATATTTTTAAATCTTCTTCAAAAGAATAAATGTTTATTCCTATATCGTTCATTTTTGAAAAATTTTTCACCTCGTTAAGCGGTGTTGGAAAGGATATTCCATCAAAGTTCAGCTTATTTAGGTGGGGGACATAACTTGACGTTTTGTTGGGGTTGCTGGTGTTGGGGTAAAGAGCTGCGAGAATAGACCACATGAAACACTGAGAGTCCTTTTTATTGATGACATTGATGATTGCCTTTGTTTCAACGATCTGCTTCGGCACCTCGATGAAGGATGATGAACCTCTGAAAGGAGAATAACGGTTCGTGCGGACTTCGAGTCTTAAAATTTCGTCCAGTGTCCAGCCCGAGTCTCTACCTTCAAAATCCTCGCTTTCTTTCACTATTTTCTCAGACATGTCGTCATAAAGTCTGGCGAGATTAGTTCCTTGTAATACATCATTATTCGGC